TAACTACAGATCATAGGGCCCAATCGAAAAAATGTGATGGAGTTCCCCCCCGATGACGTCTCTCTGAGCTGTGAGTAAAGATGCCATGATCCCAAGGACTCCTGTTGTGCATTAGAGTCGTCTCTACACTGTATACTTTACAGGGGATTAGAGTCAACTGCAACCACTCCAACCCTTAATGATATTGTACTGTATTATCGTCACATATTCTGCTCTTAATTTGCCTCAACAACCCAATGGGGCTCCCTTCCACCCACCAGGCCCCATAGCAGCCTCCTGGGCTGCTATGGCTGTAGTTATGCCACTGTGCAATAGTTATATGATTACTATTATTAATCCCAAGGTTAGTCCTGGATTTAATAAAAGTATTAAAGCTGAACTCCAGGCAAACAGCTAAGTACACAAAATAAATACATATAAGGGAGCTGTTCTACATGTCAAAGGAGTTGTATTTCTGTCTATTCATTCCTGAGATTTACACAGCTCTGTTACAGCACAGCCAGCTTGCTGACTTGACAGTAAAATAGTAGTAGCAGTTTGATGAGCTTATTCCTCCACTAACTTTGCTCTTGTCTACTATCAGCACGTTCCTTGTCAACAAATTGCATGAAGCACATCTGACTGGCTCACAGATGTTTCCTTTCCTCTCCCAGTTGGAGTGCTGCTATATATGGGGCTGGTACCAAGTCAAATTAAGGTACTTACATTAGCTGCTTTGAAAATAAAAATGTAGTAATTCAATAATGAATAGCATTAAAGCCAAACTCTTCTCTATTTTGTTTAAATGTCCCCCTTGTGCTGAATAATAAATACAGCTTTGGCTGCAATACTAACCTTGAGGGCTTGTTCCCACCATCTCCAGACCAGTTCTGGATGCATTTCTGCATACTCGTTTATGCACGTTTTTGATGCATTTTTGATTAGTTCCGGTGCATTTTCCTTTCCTTTTTTTGGTTTGGGGGGATTCTTTCACTGACCAGTAATAGCAGTACAGAGGGATGGAGGGAGGACATGTCATTGACCAATGCTGGGAAAGAACAAGAAGGGGGGATGTTCCCCAGTCCACCAATACCAGGGGAGGAAGGAAGAGTATTTCACTGACCACCAACACCTGAAAATGTGGGAAAATCTTCTTTCCACTGACCACCAATGCCTTGGAGGGATTCTTCCTCCCACTAACTACCAGTGACTGGTATACTCTGTAAGTTGTGCTTTACATTATACTCCTGATTCCTGCACTTTATTAGCTATTCTGCACATTTCATACTGTTGATTGCTGCACTGTATATGATGTGCTTTATGTTGCACTCTATAAGCTGTGCTGAATTCTACCTACTCTTGACCATGAGTTTTGTTTGCTCAACAGTTGCTGGTTGCTATGTAGTTCCCAACTATTTAAATGATTATCCTCTTTAAAGTAAGCTTAGACAGTGTTAGTATCTGTCTATATCCTGTGTAGAGAAAGGCAAGTCTAATGTAAGCGTTTCAGTTTCAAAAACCGATATGCTGTGACAAGTTACACACAGTATGTGTCTGTAAGACTCTCACTTGTGGCACTATAATTAAGGAGCATTGTACAAAGGCTGCAGCATATGTGTGCATACTGCAAGTAGACTCTAATTAGCCATATCAAGCATATTGTAACCACACTGATTGTTTTGTCATGCTGGAGGTGTGACACGGATCACCTTCACCCCACAGTGCCCCTTATTCTCAGGTTCTAAGGCTGGAAGATATGATTAAAGGGGTAAACCTGGAGCCTGGGCTTTAATTTGTGTATTTTATATATAAGTTCATCATTTTTTCAGAACTGATACCGATTATGGGCCACCTTTCATTTTTGAAACCGATATCAGGTGCCAAAATTCTGTTTACATCCAGCTATGGAATCTTGTGCCGGCACATAAACACGTAGCCTGGTGACCGCACTGTGTTCATCTTCCGACGGCAAGATTCCGCAGCCAGCAGATGAATGTAAACAGCGGGCAGTGGGCTAGATATCGGTCAACCCCCACTAGTGATGGCAGCGAAGGGGTAACAGACGCCCGCTCCCAATTTATCTGCCGTCGGCTAGATTCCACAGCCGGCAGGCAGCTGAATGTAAACAGTAGGCAGTGGGCGGGAGCAATAGCCAGCCTGCTATTGCAAACTGCAATAGCTAATAGAAGGCTGGCTATTGTACCTGCCCACTGTCTGCTGTCAATCAGCAGGTGGGGGGGCGGAGGCATCGAGGAATCCCCACCGATGGCCGCTCATTGGCTGCGTGCTGTTTATATGAAGATTTTCTGACCGGCTTCTTCGATCAGCTGATCGAGGGATGCCGGCCAAAAGGGTGCCTCAAGAACTGGATGAATTTCACACAGTGTATGGCCACCTTTATTATCGGTAATATCGGTAAATGTAACGGATACCTATAATTTTTACATTTGTAAATATTGTTCACGATTATCGATAGATCCAATAATCGGTCGACCCCTACCCATAACATTTTAGAAGACTGTCTTCAGAATAATGATGGCATAAATATGCATCACCAGTGCAGACAGTCCAGCACAGGCTTAATCGCCACACAACAGTAATTGTCCTTGAAATTTCCATCATAGTCGATAGTTGATTAATTCTCCACGTCACAGATCATGGGTTTTCCAGAAACATACAAACAGTCAAACTTATCATCCAGGTTGGGAAACAATTGTTTTATCGTTGTAGGTAGCCTTATGGATGCTTGTTAAGTTAAAAAAAATACACATTCTGAAAGAACATGGAAAACTTGTACACATATCCACTACTGCTAATTCATGGGGGTCTCTGTGTTTATTATTTTAGATTTGCTGACTTTAGCTCCACTGGTCAACTGATGTAACAGCTATGCTAAGCAGCATCAAAGGTGCATCCGCTCAGAGATGCCCACTGCAACATAGCCTGGCTTCGGAAACCTGTTGCATCTTTTCTTTTAACCTCTCTCAACCTCAGGACAGTGATTTTTTACACATTTTCCCTGTGATGCCTAACGATGACTGAGAGAGGGTCTAGCTAGGACTGTACTAAATAGCTCTAAACAGGAGGGGAGAACCGAGGGAGTTACCCATACAAAGATGAACAAGTCCCTCCGGTACCAACCAGTGGCTTCTTTTTCAGGCAGCTGGTAATTAGATATGCTTATAGAAGACAAATTAATTTTAAAAGTCAATCTGTCATATGAGGTCCAAGCATGCGCATTGTGCACCTTCTCTTCTGTCGTACAATGCTGAGCTCAGGCTAGGGAGAGGCCATGCATGGCCAACATGTATACTGTGGAAACGAAGCATCTTTTTTTAAAACCTGAGGACTGTTTTTCAATATACTAGTGGAATGCATAGATACTTTTTTGGGGGGGAAAGGTAATATAAAGGTGAACTAACCCTTTAAATAACTCTTGTAATACTCTATATTCCACTCAGCACTCTGTACCTTGCTTCGTACTATTTGTTTTTCCAAGGAAGATTTCACACTCCTTTATGAAACACATTGGATCTGTGTTCTGCTTTCAGTGATTTCTTGGAGTGAATACAAAAGATAGAATTTTCTGAGTGTGAAGATTGAAGATTGACATGGCATGAACCCAGATATTGTTGACAGGCCTATCAGTTTGAGCAGTAAACAGACATCAGAAACGCAGAGTCCATATAAGCAGCTTGTGACTGATTGATATCTGGATGAGCAGAATACTCGAGTCATGTTTACTAAGCCACACTAAGGAAAAGAGCAATTCCAGCTATTTAAAACAGCTTCATCATTCTATATTATGGAAGAAGCAGTGAAGTGGCTTTTGACACAAAGCCAGCATTTTGATATTTTGTTGGAAAGTCACACAAGTTAATTATTTGTTATGCAATACAGGTTTAACAGAACAGCCCGATAAATGTTTTCATATGTTTCCATTTTCATGATCAATTTCTAACCTTATAGAATATTTGCGGTCTAGACAGGAACCTTAATTTTTAATGCAGATCTGTTGAGCGGCCTTTTGCATAGCAGTTTGTAAAGTCTGGTGTTAAATTAAAGAATAAGTGCACTTTCAGACAGATCCCACCCCTCCCCTCCACAGAAGCCTATTTATCGAGATCCAACACCTGCTACCTCCTGTGTTTACCGACAAGTGCTGTAATTATTCTCTCTATGCGGCTTGTCTCCCAAGAAGAGGAAAAGGTACACAAGTGCCACCAAAATTTATGGGGCTCTACTGCACAGGCCTGGCCAAGAGAAACAGACTTAAGGTTGGAGATACAAACAATCCCTGGATGCCATGGCGTCCAATCAAAATAAGTATATATCTATGGATGGGATGGGTAAGATCTCATAGGTCAGGAGAGAGGTGCAAAAAAACCAATGCACTTATGCTTTAAAAATACATTCTGAGGTGATCCTGAGAACTTTGCCTCCGGTGTGCTGGTGACATTCTTTGAACATTGCTTCTTACAGTCAACTCACATTGCTACCGAAACCACGTTCCTACTAAGCAATAAATGCATGCCGCCTTGTCCCAATTTGTTTTCCAGCAGCAGATAAATGTAATCTAGAAATCTCAACCCATTCCGACTTGCATCCAAGTTGCACATGCAGCCTGCCCTTCTGCCCCTACTCAGTGTTTTGTGCAATCTCCATGATAGCCAGTGCAATGTAGAAAACCGCCTTTCTACGTGCCGCTAGCTGCAGTGATAAGAATGTAGTAATCTAAAGCAGCATATGGCACAGCTGCACTGAAAATGTCAGCTAATCTCTTTGTTAATGCAATTTCATGCAGCTTACTGCTACTATGAAGACATGGAATATGTGGAAAGCAGGTGGTTATTGACAGCTGGCACTTGTCACCTTCTAGAGGAAGCCATTGATAACAGGTTGAGTTTAGGACACCTATTGCTCCATTTGTAGCTTCGGCTTTCAAGTTGAAATTTATGGAACAATGTCTTCAGCAGACTGTTTCTGAAATAGAAAGTTATCTAGTAATTAATATCACTTACCTATAGGCATAGCAAGAAAAAAAGGAAGCCAGCACAGGACAAAACATCCTACTACTATTCCCAGTGTCTTTGCAGCTTTCTTTTCCCTGGAAAATTTAAGAAGTCGTACTGAGAAGTGTGTTTTGTGCTTTGTGCTAGAATTGGAGCTGAGGCTATCAGGAGTGCTCTTCCGGTGAATCCTCAAAGTCACCTCTTCAGAGTCTGATTTCTCACATTTCATCCCGCGGGTTAAAACTTTGCCTTCCCTTTTGGCAACAATGTAAACCCTGAAGTACATGATAAGAATAATTGTAAGGGGAAGATAAAAGGAACCAAATGCTGAGAAGAGCGCATAACCTGGTTCTTCTGTGATTTCACAGATTGTCTCATCTTCTGGTGCAGGCTCCTTCCAGCCAAATAAAGGTCCAATCGAGATTACGAGTGACAAGACCCACACGCACAGTAGAGCAAGAAGAGCTCGCTTTTCAGTCATAATGCTGGGGTATCTCAATGGATAACTAACCCCTATGTAGCGGTCAATAGATATGACACATAAGCTCATTATGGACGCTGTACAACAAAGAACATCAACAGCTGCCCAGATGTTGCAGAAAATACGTCCAAACAGCCAGTATCCTTGAATCTCAAAAGTGGCAGAGAATGGAAGCACCATTGACATTAAAAGTAGATCTGCTACAGCAAGGTTAACAATAAAATAATGGGTCGCAGTTTGTAGATGCCGGTGACAGGCTACTGAAAGTATGACCAAGATGTTTCCAAGAACACCAAAGGTGATAAAAACCCCAAAGATAACTCCAATGATGATGGTTTTGGAAATACTGGTGGTTGGTGTCTGGTGAGTGCAGTTTAGACAGAGAGGGGTGGTGTCTACTGTGTTGTTCTGATTAAATAGGACCATGATCAAGTTGAATAAAGTCTGTTTTAAGAAATGTTGTCTCCAAAGTTCTGACTCAAGCAATACGGCGTACTTTTTTTTCACTCTACTATGTTAAAGTCCTGGAAATTCTTTTCCGGCCAAAATACACACTCATGCGCTGATTAACATGCAGAACATAGAACCCAGCCAATACGATGTTTACATTCCTCGTAGCTGTGATTGATTAGAGAAGGTAACTCCAACATCATTTTGAAATGCTTTCCTTCACTCTGGGCATTTCCCAGTTAGTCAGATGCATTGCAGATGTGAAGATGTTTCATTGCACACAGTTTCTTCATAAAATTAAATGTTTTAGCATTTCACATTTATTGTACAAATTGTCCTCATTCTGCAAATGTGTTTTTGGGTTGACTAGCTCCCCAATAAAGGCTTGGTTGTGGCGTAACATATAATTAGAAAAATTGGCTTTTCAATGGTTTATATTGTATGTTGATATAGCCTGTTTTGTATTATTCATTATTTTAGTTAGTAACACTTCATAAATGTCCATTTGATGAGATGAATCTCTCCCAGGGACAGGGTCAGTGAAGCTTTTCGGTGGATCCTGTATTTCCAGTCCGTTATCCTGTTTCTTGGAGGTTGCGGACTAAAATGCTCATCACAGAGTTTCTCTAATCGTCCTGGTGAAAACTGGTACACATAGTCCCTGTGACAATGATGTCTTCTCATGTTACTCCAAATGCTCTGATTACCTTCAATAAAAAAATGCATAGAGAAGGTCAGATAAGACTGAGCAGGTTAATTTTAAATGTTTTAACTAATGCATAATTTTACTATGATGTAAAGAAGAACTCCAGACAATGGAAAAATTAAGCCTTGTAGTGGGGCTAACCCCACAAACTGCTTGTTTTGTTCTAGGGGCTAAAATAAAGGGAATGCATTCAACAGATCCTCAGTACCACTTGGTTGCTACACCAGTCCCCGCAGCCTCTTCTCCGCCGGGTTCCGGCAGTCTAAGGACTCGTGACGTCATCAAGCCTAATGCAACTGCATTAGACATGAGGACAGCGAGGGACATTCCACCGACTGAGCAGGGAAAAAGATGAGCCACCACCGCAGGACCGAGGATCAGGTGAGTATATCTCTATAATACTGCCTCTGGGCCAAAATGAGCAGTTAACCCTTGCAGCGCAGGGGTAGCCACACTGTAATGGTTAATGTTTTCGATTGCCTGGAGTTCTTCTTTCAGAACATAGAAAATAAAATCCCGCTTTTCTAGCATTGAGCAGCTGGACTTTTTAAGACTTTAGCTACAAGTTACAAGATAAGCATAATTGTAAGGGTTTGTGTGCATGGATATGGTCTTCTGATATTCATAGCTTGCTGCACATCAAAGCATGCTGCATTTACCCATCTACACAAGCCCTAAATGAGCTAGAAATTCTGTCTGGAAAAACTCAAGAAACAAATGTTATTATACAGTATGTAACGGTCAGTTATTGTTATATGGATTGCCAAATAGAAGATGTCTCTTTATATTTCATCAAAATGTTTACCATCTACAAACAATATAAGATAAAAGAATAGAATAGAAAAACAATAGAATAGACTCTCAACCTTCCAACAAAACAAAAAAAGAAATCAAATCAACCAATCGTATTACATCTGACCTTTTTCTAGTTCGGGCAAAATAAAAGAACATTAAGCATCTGATTGGTTGCTTCAGCCAATACCATTTTATTTCCTCCGGTGTATTTAGAAAATTGACCCAGAGCCCTTCACATTTATAGAGGCAGGAAGAATGATGTCAGTACAAAGGCTACGTTAAACATTCTGACAGGTAAAACTATGATAACAGAATTCATAGGTCAGTCTGTAGAAGAAATATGAAATATGATATATGCAGTTTATACTGATCCCTTCAATGATGTAAGGTCAATGATAAAGGATTAATTACACTTCTATCATTTTATTCAAATAGCTCTTCTTGAGGACAGTTTAATTACAAGGTACTATCTGTGCAAATTGTTTTGCAAGCCATAACCACTATTCACATACCAGATCTGATCAGTTTAGCAAACGTTTCAGCTAAAACACAGAAATGATGCATGGAAAATAAGTATCATCAGACAACGCTTCCTAACTCTTCAAGTCAAATAAAAGATAAGACATTAAGGGCCCATTCACACCACAATGCTGTGCATCCCAACACACTGAAAATTGTGGGCGTCGCTGCTATACAGTGTATAGGCCGTCAGGACGCCAAAGGACATTGCATCACTGAAAATGAACACTTAAACCTTGCAGTGTAAGGGTAGCCCCACTGCAATAGTTAAGAATAGTTATGCCTAGAGTTCTTCTTTAAGCCTTTCCGAGCACCAATTCCTCACCTCAGTCTTCCAGTCCCTCCACTAAGCCCTGCTTTCCCTGGGACTCTCTTTAAATTCCCAACATTAAACAAATATATCAAGTGAGGGCTGGTGTATCCACAAAAACATTGTGCCTATTCACTAATTTAAAAAGGCGATAGGCAACTGACAGTTTTTTGTGCAGCAAACGATCAAGTTTAATATGGGCCCTTTACAAAACAATCGGTTCTGTAGAAGCTCTGAAACAAAGTCATGTTTGGGGAACAGTAATCCTGTTTTGACACTCAATGCAAAAATACAATAATCCTCATGCAAATCTGTAAACAGAATTAGCATATTTTAAGAGGCTTTCATGGTCTGCCTGCGTTACCACCGTCTGAATGCAAAGTTTATTCAATTATGACAACATGACACGGCTAATAAGGCAAATGAAGCTGATCTGTTTTGTCTATTATTTATGTATTAATCCAATTCCGCAGCAGACAGACCTGACATAAGCAGTCAGTGAATCAGCTTCAATGCACACGTTTAGCATAATTCTTTTTATGCGGATAACCAAGTTTGACATGACAGGAGGTAAGCTTCCTGGGTGTGTGGTCCAGCTAATTAATAAAGTCGTCCCTTGTTGCTTTACCACATGGGCCATCACTGCCTGCACGGCAGCTAATGCTGAGAATTTTGCTGCAATTTCCAAATATAAGAAAGTCTACTGGTTTGAGCAGGTCAATTCTCAACTCATTTTATTGAATTACACCAGAAAAAGTCCTGCTCACTGCATGGTGACATAATCTGCCTCTTTCCTTTCAAGCATCTAGCTCTGGGTACTATGCTCTGCGGCTTTATGGTTAGCAGTTCTGTCTTACAGCATTGGGGGGCCCTGGTTCAAACCCCAGTCAGGATGGAGTTTGCATAGTTTCCCTGCGTTTCCTCCAGCACTCCAAAGAAATGCTGGAAGGTTAAGGTCCCTACCCCCTGTATGTGAGCTACGAACCTTAGATTATAAGCTCCTCGAGGGCAGGGACTGATAGGAATGTGCTGTTGAAATTGTTGGTGTAATATAAATACCTATAATAAAATCTAAAAATGGAATTGGGTCCTTCACAAATGCATCTCTTAAGGGTAACTCCACTTGAAAAAGAAAAATCTTTAAAAAAATGAATATAGCATATGTTATTGTTGTACAAGGAATTCTGTAAGTTAGTGTTATTGAAAACAACATATCCATTTTTAACTGTAGCTGCTGTAATGTTCTAAATCTGTCAAAAAAATGAATGCAATATGGTGACATGGAGGCGTTCTTTACACAGTTGGAGTACAGAACGCCTTCAGAAATATCACTTCCTGCTTCTATGATTGGCTGACTGATTTTCCCAGAGGGCTGCACTAAGATACAAATATGATTTTTGGCATCCTTTGCAATAAGAATGTCATTTTTGGTGAGATACACCCTAAGGGTTAATGACTACTAAAGGGATGCCGACACTGCACCTTTACTCATCACAACACAGGAAGTCCACCAGCTGACTATAATGAACACAGACTCTTCTATTCAAGGATCAGTTTGGAAAGGACATGCTGCAACAATCAGCTTTTTCTTCAGAACAGAAACAGTTAGGGAACTGTAACAAAGTTTGGTAAAATCCTTGTAATGTACACAGATCACCCAGAGAAGATTGATTTTTTTTTCTCCACAAACATGAAGTTACCCTTCACTGCAATGTATCTTAAGGTTCAACATTAACTTGTAAATTCACAAAGTTGCTTTAGGCAATTTCCTATTCATTTTCACCTTATTTTGATAAAAAAAATATCTATTTACAGGGGTGTGGAAATTTTTGAAAAAACTACTTGTCCAAGGACTAAAGTTGGGGCCGAATCTACTTGTCCCTCATGACAATCTACTTGTCCTGATACAAAAAAATTATTTTAACCAAAACCGTATTTAGTAGTGCTAAGAAGCACTTCTCATTGGTGAGTGCCGTCAAGATGACTGCGTTGACCAATGAGTGCTTGCAATTTGCGAGCGAAATTCAGAATACATTTAACAGGTACAGATAGTACACCCGTATTGGTGGACGGGAAGGACCGTTCGCCGAAAGGTAAGTATAGTGGGAGGGAGATTTGTGTGGGTAATTCCATTTTCCCAAATTACTTAGGAAAGTGAATTTACCCTTTAGGGTTGGTGCAGACTTGGTGATTCCCAGGACGTGCGATTGTGTGCGGTTGCATCCGCATGTATGGGGTTACATCTGCGTGGCAATCGCTGAAAAAAAGGTAGATGTACCTATTTTCACGACATGCACTGCGCAGTGTTTTCACCTTTTTATTTTTTACATTTTTATTTAGTTACATTTTTAAATATTATTTTTGACTTTTTCACAATTTAACTTAACTGTATTGCTATCACACAGGGAATAATAATCCCCTGCGTGATCCTCAGCGCTCCGTACCCGCCCCCCGCTCCGTCCACACCCCCCGCTCTCGGCGCTACACCCACCCGCTTGCAGCGCCGCTCTCGGTGCTCATTTAAGAAAATAAACCACTTGCAAGGCGCTCGGAACTACATGTCCCGGGCGATACGAATTCCACACCCCTGCATTTAAAGTAGGGCTGCAACAACTAATCGATTAAATAGATTATATTTGTTAATGAGAATCGCTGGCAACGATTCTCATCATCGATTAGATGCTTTTCGAT